CATACTCTTGTAACTAAAAACAGGCACGATGTCTGTTCATTATCTAAGATGTTTTTCTGGAAAGGTGCTTGCTTGGTCTTGTTCCTGTATAATATGCCAGCACACCCACGTGAAGTAGAAAGTAGAAAGCATGTTGTCAAACATGTTCAGTGTTTTTTTTTCCTTGTGGTACTCAAGATTGAACCCAGGGTCTTCCATAGGTTAGACAAGTGCTGTATCACTGAGCTACATTCCCAGCCTTTTTTAAAATTTAGAGTTAGGGTTTTGCCAGTAGCTCAGACTGGCCTTAGACTTGCAGTTGTCTTGCCACAGTCTCCCTAGTAGCTGAGATTAGAAGTGTGTTGCACCATGCAAGGCTTAGCTCCTTTTTTTTTTTTTTTTGTACTTTTTTTGGGTGAATTTGGTTCCAGCCCCCGTGTGTGTGTGTGTGTGTGTGTGTGTGTAAGTGTAATTCAGGCTGGCCTCCAACCAGGGCAATCCTCCTTCCTCAAGCCTCCTGAGTCCTGGGATTTCAGGTATGCACCACCACACCCAGCCTTTTTACTTTTTATTTGAGACACTAAATAGCTAAGTTGCCCAGGCTGGGCTCTAATTTGCAGTCTTTCTGCCTCAGTCTCTCAGAGTGCTAGGCCACCATGCCTGGCTTGTACTTTTTAAAATTTTTAGGATTTTGGCTAAATTCATCTATTTTCCATCCACTCTGAACTTGTCTTTTCACTTTCTAATGTACTACTACCTTGATCTGTGTTTTGATTTTACTTACATTGTTTATAAATCATGATACCTATAAAAATACAGCAGAATTGCACAATGTTTGAAAATATGGCTTTCTGTACTAGAAAAACTTAAAGAATAGGTGAGTTTTCTTTGCGGAAATTTTTTTATCTTTGCTGCTTTCTTAGGACCCAAGGACTATTATCTTTTTAGGTTCTTTTGAGACAGGACCTCTCCCTGTAATACAGGTTGACCTTGAATTCACTCTAGCCCAGGCTGGCTTCAAATTCACAGCAATCTTCCTGCTTCAGCCTCTCAAGTGCTGAGATTACAGGCATGCAGCACCATGCTGGGCTCATGTGCCTTGAAATATCTAACCATTTAAGGTTGTGATGGGCCAACTTGAATTCTTTTTTTGTTTTTAAGACAGAATCTTGCTGTGTAGTTCAGCCAGGCATTGAACTGAAGGCAATCCTCCTGCCTCAGCCTCCTGAGTGCTGGGATCACAGGTATGCACCAGCACACCCAGCCTGTCAATTTTTTTTTTTTTTTGCAGTACTGGGGATCGAACTCATGACCTTGTTCTTGCCAGGCAGGTGCTTATGCCATTGAGCTGTATCCCCAGCCCCAACCTGACAATTTGGATTCTGACAGAGTTATTAATCCCCTCTATAAGGTTTCTAGAGTTCCATCATTTCTTTTTTTTTTTTTTTTTTTTTTTCCCCTGTACCTGCAATCTAACTCATGACCTTGTGCTTGCCAGGCAGGTGCTGTGCCGCTGAGCTTGAGCTAAATCCCCAGCCCCTAGTTCCATCATTTCTAAATATTATAATAATAACTAAAATTTATTAAGTTATTTTATTATTTAAACTATTTGAAATTATGAATTCCATAATTGTATAGAGACACTTTAATTAATGGTTGATCTAGCTGGGCACACCTGTAATCCCAACACTTGGGAGGCTGAGGCAGGAAAATCACTGCAAGTTCATGGACAGCCTGGGCTACATAGAGAGTTCAAGGTTGGCCCTGATTGCATAATGAGAACCTGTCTCAAAAAACAAAAAAAAGAAAAAAAAAAAGGTTGATCATTCCCCCCCCCCCCCGCCGGGGAATCAAACTCACGATGTTGCGCTTGCCAGGCAGGTGCTGTGCCGCTGAGCTAAATCCCCAGCCCTGGTTATATATTTTTAAAAAGCTGTTTTAACTAAGTATATAATATTTGTTTTTGGAGCAAAGGTTTTTTTTTTTTTAGATAGAATGCACTCGATAGTAATACTGTTTGAAGTTTAAGAATGAGTATTTGTGATTTTATGAAATACCATTCTGGTAAATGTGATGATGTGTGTGACAGCCTACCACTTTTGAGTATCTTTAATTTTGAGGGTGGACTCTTGGATCTCGAAACAGGCTTGAGAACAGTGCCTGCCTGGCAAGTGTGAGGTCCTCAGTTTGATTGCTGGTACCGCCCCCCACCTCAAAAAAAACCAGGCTTTACTGGTATTATAGCTCAGCAAAAATGTAGCAGTTCAAGTTCTCTTTCTGCTCCTCCATTTGGTTGTTTGTACACCCACTGTATTTATGGAAGAAGCTAAGTGTATCCTGGGGACCAAAGCTTCCTCAAAGAATGTGGGTGGTGACATCTCATAAATTTGCAGATGGTTCTGAGGCTTTTATTTTCCTGTCTTTTTGAGACAGGGTCTCGCTATGCAGTTCAGGCTGGCTTTGATCTCACTTTTCAGTTCAGGCTGGTCTGGAACTCGCAACAACCCTCCTGCCTCAGCCAGTTTAGTGCTGGGATTACAGGCATGCTCCACTACACTCGGCAAGGCTTTTATTTTCATTTTAAAATTTTTTGTAAGGGGCTGGGGATTTAGCTCAGTGGCACAGCGCCTGCCTGGCAAGCAAGAGGTCATGAGTTCGATTCCTGGTATTGGAAAAAAAATGAAAAAAAAAGAAAAGAAAAAATAGAAAATAAAATTTTTTGTAGTAGTGAGAATCAAACCCATGGTCTTGTGTGTGCAAGACAAACACTGCCACTGAGCTCTCTTCAACCTGTGAGGATTTTAGATTTTTCTTAGTTGTTTGGTTCACTTTTTTTGTGTTTTTGAGACAGGGTCTCACTAATGCAGTTCAGGCTGGCCTTGAGCTCACTTTGTAGCCCAGGCTGGTCTTAAACTCAATGATCCTCCTGCCTCAGCCTCCCAAGTGCTAGGATTGTAGGCGTGCACCGCCACACCTGGCCTTGTTTGGTTCATTTTGATACCAAAATTTATATATATGTTACTGAGTTGTCATTATAGTTTTTTTATTTTTTATTTTTTTTTGAGACGAGGTCTCACTCTGTAGTTCAGGCTGGCCTTGAACTAACTTTGTAGCCTAGGCTGGTCTTGAACTAACAGCGATCCTCCTGCCTCAGCCTCCTGAGTGCTGGGATTACAGGTATGTGCCACCATGCCTGGCTCATTATACATTGTTGAATTGAGAAAATTAGATTTGGTGGTATTTAAGACTATGTTTTTTATCATTTATTTCCTCTGCAAAGTAAAGATATATAATTTTACTGACATTACCATTGGTTTGTACCTTGTTATTAAGTACTGTGTTCTTTCATGTGTGTGTGTGTGTATGTGTGTATATGTATGTATTTTGAGATAGGATCTTGCTATGTAGCCCAGGCTATGTGGCAGTCCTGCCTCAGCTTCCCAAGTGTTCTCATGTTTAATATACAGCTATTTGTAGAATTTGTCTGGTCTTATGTATTTTATTTTTATTTATTTTATTTTTTTTTTGTCTTATGTATTTTAGTAATTGCATGAGCAGATCTTCAACAGGAAAGATCTTAGTAGTAAATTTTTATTAATTTTTTTAATAACTAAAAATGTTTTTAGTTTTAAGATAACAGCAGTACTAAAAAAGAAAGATTTCACTTTCATGCACACAGTGTATTGTTTGAATGTTTAAATGATAGTTAACATATGTGCTTGCTAAGTGCTTTACATATCTGAACTCATTTAAGTTTTACAATCCTGTAATCTGTTTTTACAATCCTGTATCTGTTTTTTTTTTTTTCTTTTGAGACAGGGTCTCGCTGTGCAGTTCATGCTGGTCTTGAGCTCACTTTGTAGCCCAGGTTGGTCTCGAACTTGCAACAATCCTCCTGTCTCAGCCTCCCAAGTGCTGGGATTACAGGTGTGTGCCACCATGCCTGGCTGTATCTGTTGAAGTAGGTTCTAGTATAGCCATTTGCAGACAAAGAAATTTAGGTGTAGCTGGGTATGGTGGCACATGCCTCTAATCCCAGCACTCGGGAGGCTGAGACAGGAGGATCTTTGTGAGTTTGAGACCGTCCTGTACTACAAAATAAACTCAAGGCCAGCCTGAACTGCATAGTGAGACCCTGTCTCAAAAAGAAAAGAAAAAAAAGGAAGAAAGAAAGAAAGAAAGAAAGAAAGAAAGAAAGAAAGAAAAAAAGAAAGAAAGAAAGAAAGAAAAAGAAAGGAAGGAAACAGTTGTGGAGAAGTATGGCAGTTAGCCAGAGTTGGATGGCTAATGAGTGGCAGAGCTGAGATTTCAGCCCATGGAGTCATGTTCTAGGGTTTGTGTTTTTACCCCAGCCTAGCTCTGGGATCTTGCTGCTTTTTGTGTTATTGTTTGTTTTATCACTTAATGATGTGTGACATTTTCCTATGTAACTCTGCCTCCCTAACAACTGCAGTGTCTTAGGATATGGATGTACCATAATTTAAGCCTTTATTTATTTATTTATTTATTTTTGGTACTGGGAATTGAACTCAGTACCTTGCATTTGTCAGGCAGGCGCTGTGCCACTGAACTATCTCCCAGAACCAATTTAGGCCTTTCAAACTTAATCTTTTTTAAATATTGCCAATCCCTTGTTAATGGTTTCCAATTTTATTTGAAAAGTCAAGCGTTTTGAATTGTAATAGTGAGGAAACATTTTTATATACTAAGTAGTGCATATTAGCTGTTCAAGTATTTTGATATTATTCCTTTTGAGTTGTATAGTAAAATCTGTGCTTAGTCCACAAATTGTTGTGTATGAGTTACATTATTTTTTATTTTTCTTTAGCTCTGAAAAATAAGTGTATTGGGGTAAAATCAATATCTGTTTGTATTTTGTTTACTTTTGGTATGGACTGGAATTCTGATGTCACTGTAGTAAGTCATCATAATACTAATTTGAATTCTGAATACTAACTGGCTTTACATTGCTAATGGCTATGTATTCATGTCTCTATTATTTATTTATTTATTTTTGGCAGGGTTTCACTTATGTAGTTCCGGCTTGCCTTGAACAGAGATCCTCCTGCCTGCCTCAGCTGCCTGAGCGCTGGGATTACAGGCCCAGCTCATTGGTGGTATCTTTGAGGTAATATTCCCGATGATGAGTTACCATGCTAATACTGAAACACCAGGTAGGGCAGAATTGCCCTGGTTTGGGTGCCAGTGAATTTAACAAAAGTTCTCACATGGAGACTTGAGGGACAAAACAACACAAATAAATAAATAGGGCAGGGCTTGGTGGTGCACACCTATATTCCAGTACTTGGGAGGATGAGGCAAGAGGATGGCTGAGAATTCAGTGCCAGCTTGGGCTACACACTGAGCTCAAGGCCAGCCTGAATACATAATGAGACCTTGTCTCCAAAAATAAGTAAATAAATAAAAGCAAAAAAGTAAGTAATGTGCCTGGCAATTCTTTATGTTTATTCCAGGGAAGAATAATTGGGTTTTAAGCACATTTTCTATTTTCAGTGTTGGTGTATCAAACCTTGCCACTGAGCCATATCCCCAGACCAAACTTGGGACCTTGTGCTTGCCAGGCAGGCGCTTTTTTCTACCATATTTTATTCTTGTTTCAAATGTGCCAACTGAAGACTTTAAAGTGTTGTTTGTCTCAAAATTTTTCTTCATTGATGCTCATTTCTCAGTTGTGAGGAAGTGTCTTTTTTTTTTTTTTTTTTTTTTGGAGACAGAGTTTCACTATGCAGTTGAGGCTGGCCTTGAGCTCACAGCGATCCTCCTGCCTCAGCCTCCCCAGTGCTGAGATTACAGGTGTG